AACAAAGGCAAATTCTTCAAATGTTGCAGTGTGAAGTGTAGCTTTTGGGATTGGTGCGAAGATGGAGAAGGAATCGGTGAATCTAGCGTACTAGGCTAAACAAGCGATGGATGAAGAAGTTGAAGATATGTCGCGAATGTTCCAATCTCAAGTTCGGCTAAATAACGAAGAAGACCTATTGATTTCTGTGACCGTGAATGTGACAGTCCGCCGAGCTTGAGTAGTTGTTTACGGTGAACTGGTCATGTTTTGTTAAACAGCGGCATTTTGTAAATTTGAAATTGGTCGACTAGTTTAGTGCAATCAATTGGTACATTTTGGTTGAAGTAAAAAAATTTACTTCATGTACCTTGGACATTCGTGAAATTATATTATGAGCAGTTTGGTGAATGCTTAGGTATTTCTGTTTTCGAATTATAAACCTGCAGTCAATTTGTACATTTTGGTTGAAGTAATAATTTTTACTTCATGCTTGCAATAAACATTTATTATAGTGATCATCATCCAAACATTAATCATCCAAAACAAAAATAATCTAAGCTTGCAATACACACTTATTACATAATAGAAATTTCGAACCCTCCGTTCAACTAAAGTTGAAAATTTCATCAGATGACGCCTTGCTTAGGTGTTCGCCTCACTTTAAATCGAGCCACTATGATGTGGTAAATGTGGATCGTTGTATGAGTTCTCATTACCTGACATGTGAATTGAAATTAATAAGAGTCGATTACTTGTCAATTTTAAGCGTTGAAAATAAAATATATACGTACCTTGTGAATGCAAAACCACATTTGTCGTCGTAGTAGGGATAAACGTAGACGACGATACTTGTTGTGTGAACACTCAGCTCATACCGTCACCCTACACATGTTGCTTTTCATTAATTATAAAAAAAAGTGTATAAAAATCGTCCAATTAATATACTTACCAGTAAGAGTTGCGAAAATGCGTACGACATTGGCATTGAATATTGTTGTGGCGGTGGCAATGGTATTGAATATTGATGTATCGTTGGTGTTGGCGTTGAATATTGCTGTGAATATTGTTGTTGATGAGGTGGCGGAACCTTTCCTGTTATGTTATTCGATCGCACATGCATGAACACCGGAACGAAATTGGTATTATTGAACAAAATGAAGTGAAAACAACGTTGATTCATACGAATATACCATAGATTTCTTAGCGTTCGCCTCCAATTGGCCTTTTCTCCGTTTTGTCTTCAAGGCTCCCTTTTTCTTCGACGATATCGGATCCCTCACAGTCCCATTGCTTTGAGTTTGAGATGCAACACAATTCAAATTGTTATTACTACCGGAACTCGACTTTGTCAACCTAAGCTCTTTATTTTGAAGTTGTATCCAATCCATTATAGCACGATGCCTCATTTCATCATCTACTGCAAGGTCTGCCACCGTGTTAAATGCCTGACACATCTCGTCATACCTCAATTGTCCATAAGTACTAACCATACCAGCATAATTCACGGCGACCCGCGTGTGTTCTCTACTAACATCCCTCATCCATCGGCGCAGTATATATTGATCCGGCATCACAGTCACCTTATTACGTATCAACACTGCGATTGCATGCCTACATACTATACCCCGAAATTTGAACAGGTAACAATTGCAGATGATTTCACAGTTCTCTCTATTAAATAAAACCTGAAAAAATTTCTACCTCATCGCTCGGCATAAATGATGTCCTCACGCACCTCATACGTCGTCCCCAGATATCCTTCTGAAGTAGACATGAGATCACAGTAAACCTTCCCTGTAAACTCGACCTAAACTTCGAAATGGTGTACAATTCCTGATATTGCTTTTCTATTTCGTATGTTGTCGCACACGGTAGCATTTGAGAGAAAGACTTGAAATCGACTTGAAATTCCTTCTCTACCTTATTCCGCAATGCTCGCTCATACTGTTCGACGAACTGCTTCAACGATGTCTTCGAATGCACATAACCATCGAAGAGGGCGTTAATACTTTCACTTCTTTGCGTCGTTGACATACCAGCCCAGAAAGTTTTTTTCAACAAACATGGCACCCAACGACCTCTATTTTCATACAATCCAGACTACCAAGGTTATCGCGTAAGTCATACGTATCGATAATCACTTTCCAACCTTCCTCAAATTCTTCGAAAAATTGTGAATCATAAACCAGTACATGTATAACTGAAAATATCGAAGCTTTATCCGGATCATATCCAAACTTTTTTGGTAATTTCTTCAATATGTGCCACAAACACCATCTATGTTTCGTGTTCGGAAAAACTATCTCAATTGCATTTTGTATCGTTCTGTCTTGATCGGTAACTATTCCCTACGGAGCTTGATCATACATGCACTTCAACCATGTCTTGAACACCCACACAAATGTATATGTGTTCTCATTCGATAGTAAACCACAACCAAGCAACTTTGATTGCCTGTGATGATTCACGCCAACAAAAGGGGCGAAGGGCATATCATACTTATTAGTAAGGTAGATTGTATCAAATGTCACAATATCCCCGAACTCCTTATACCAGGTTGCCTGCACCGATTGTCAACCCATAAGACATTTTTCAGGGGTAAATCATCATCCAAGTCAATACTAAAGTAAAATTTGGAGCAGCGGGATTGCATTTCGGAAAAGTAAGATTGTATTACAGCCGCATCACCCTTGCTAAGTTTTAGTCGTCTCACTTGTTCGATATAATTTCGACAATCCTTTTCGATGCGAGTCATTTTCTCGTAGCCACCGGCCTCAACAACTGCGGAGTTAAAACTTTTATGCAATGGTATTCTTGCTACATCATTCTCTTCGAGCTTTCATTTCACGTATGCACTTAAATCTCGGTTGCATCGATACAACCTGGATTTAGTAGGACTCGCCTTATGATTGTGGTCAAGGTGGACCGTGTTAATTTTTCAGTAACCATGGATATCTAAAGATGCAGAGATCCTAGTTTACAACTCATCTGAATTGTTGGTTGCGGCTTCAAAGAAGTGTTTGTAGTACCAATTCTTCGTCCCTCCCTACTACACGTCAATGTGACAAATCTCAAAACACCGTCATCATCCCTCCCTGAACTCCTCTTCCTAATTGGAAAACCTACACCTCTTTTTCCTAATTAGCATAAGAATATCTTGCATAAAAATCACACCTCTTTTTCATCATTGAACTGCATACCAACTTCAGGCACAATCATTCCATTTCCTCCTATTGTTTCATCTTCCACAACATTCACATTGTCCTCCACATTCTCATTTTCGGAATTGATGGACAAAACATCTTACATATTTGGCTGATCTTGCAAAACATAACACACTCACCCATTATTTAGGTGTTCAAAATGCCCAACCGCCATTCAAAATTTAGGCTCGAATAATTTTCATTGAGTTTTATTCTTTTTAATTTCCCTATTTCAGTTGCAAAGTAAAATATTGAGCAAGCGTGTGTTTAAAACGTCTGACAAGATTTTGTAGATAAGATGTAGATGAACGCGAAATTTTCTTTATGACATACAAACTTACTTCAACTAACGAAATTTGAACAAAGCTATGCATAAAGTTTTTGTGAAAGAGAGCTAGGAAAGAAAGAATCTCATGCTGTGTATTTCTGTTGGAAAGATAAAGTTCTCATACTTACTTAATTATTGGTTTTTCCATGTCTATTGGTCAAGTTTGGATTACTTTTTATGGAGGGTTTTTCTGATTTTACTTTCTGTTGTTTCAGCTGGCTATATGGGCTCTCATACGCAGGAACTCTACCATAAGTTAGGCCCCACCCCCACCATTAGCAAAAGTGAAAAAAGTGGCCAACAGGATCTTCGATTCAACGACTACAGAGTATGTTTTTTACATTGAGTGCAACAACTAACAAAATCATATTTTCAATAAGCTTTGTGTCAGCTCTACCAATCATTTTCCCCAATTCTGTTTTACATCCATTAAACAAGTCTAATGAAATCATTCTTTTCTCAGCCAAGATTGTTGAAGCCTATTTCATTGAATAATATATTAAGCCTACATCTACAATTCACAGTGAATATCAACAGGTAAAAGTATGGGCTCCAACTCCCTTGACTGCAAGCTACCTAGAAAAGAATACCACGTGACATCCCCCACACAATCATGAGTTGAGTTCTCACAAGAATCATGTCCAGTTGAGGAACTAAAAGCACAAATTCTTACCATAGGTTTGTAATGACCCGGTTCCGGAGAAGATGAAGAATATGGAAGAAACACACGACTTTCCGTCCAATTTCTGCTTATGTATGTGGAGAAGATGAAGAATATGCCGCCTAATCCGCCAAAATAGGATAAGATTTTGTCTAGTTTCAAAATGTGAGCTATTGGGTATGGACGAGGAATTGATTTGGGGAAAATAGGGAGAGAGAAAATGGATTGTGGGTTTGAGAGATTCTGTAATCCGCCAAAATAGGTTATGATTTTGTGTAGTTTCAAATTGTGAGCTATTGGGTATGGACGAGGAATTGATTTGGGGAAAATAGGGAGAGAGAAAATGGTTTGTGGGTTTGAGAGATTCTGAATTTTAGGCGGTTCTGAATTTTTTCCCAGCCATATACTCCACTTTAGCGCCCATTTTCCCGTCCATTGTCATTTGATCTCCACCTTACACGTCACTTTGTCAACCATCTTTGTCATGGAATTTTGTACAAACAGCATTATTCTTAAAACCTTCAATAATTGATTATTCAGATAATTCGAGACATTATAGCGGTCGCATATGTACTACGTAGAGTGGACGCCACAGTGTGACAGTGCCCTTTGTTCTGTTCAAAATTGAGAAATTATTCTTATACTTTTGTGTGAAACAAGATCAAGACTCTCGGGTCGAATTTCAGGCGAGTCGTCGCCGTCGATATATATCAAAACGACGACGTCCGCATCGATAGCCGGAACCCCACACATATACACTGTACTATGCTACATGCTTGTTGGGTAAATCAATAATAGCAACAATTCACCAGCGATAGAGAGAGAAATGAACGTGAGCCAGGGGGTGGTTCATCCAGTGGAGGCGCCGCCGCGGCTGCAGACGGAAGGGGCGGGAAATATGCTTCTTCCACGTGTCAGGATGAAGGATCTCCAGGGCATGCCGGGTACTGTAGGCGGAGTATTCTTGCGCTTTTCTCAATTGTTGTTTGCAGTAGTCGCTCTTTCCGTTATGGCCACCATCACTGACTTTGCTTCCGTCACCGCCTTCTGGTAATCTCTTTAATTCTAATTCTCTATGTACAGTCGTCCCTGAATAATTTAAAAGGTTGTTTATTGATCTGGTTTTAGAAGCTTTTGTTGTAGCTATGGAATTGGGACTGTTTATTCATTGTCCAGCAAAAAGAAAAAAATGAATAAAAAGAATAGTATCGCTCGAATCACTAGAATCAGTTTTCATAGGCCAGGATCAGGCCTGTTCATGAAGAAATTGTTAATGCACCTCTTGGAGCTAAAGATTTTTTTAAGCACCTTATAAGCTTAGCCAAACAGGCTAGTATTGAGACCAAGTTGTGTATTTTTGTCTGTTTAACTGCCCCCACTTTCCAAACCCAAAGAAAGGCTTTTAAAGTTAAGGAACAGCTAGGAGTACAGAACACTAGAACAGGCATGGCTAGCGTATGAGACAATTGGGGCTTATACTTCTATCCTACTGCAGCTCAAACTTGGAAAACTCGCACAACGTCAGTTTCAGTGCCTGTTTGGTTTAGCCAAAAAAAACTGATAAAAATCTTGAGTCATGCTACTTGTACAATCCCGTTTACAACTTCTTTTACAACCCATGACTTGTCAAACAATATATCCGTGCATTTAAAAAACTATTTTTGAAATTGATGGCCGAGATCTTGACAACACATGGGTTGTCAAACTAGTTGTCAACGAAGGTTGTACAACTAGCTTTATTCAAAAATCTTAGTCAATAATTAATTTTAATCACGCATCCACAATTTTTATCAATTTTTCAAACACACATTTCATGATGAATACCAAAATTTACTAAAAGGCTGATTTTTAGCAAAAATCAAACCGGGACTTAATATAATGCACTACATAAGAATGACATGTCTTAAAAACCCCAAACTTACTCAAAAAGGAAAGACTGAAACCAAGATAAGTAAACCTGATCTTTAAGGGAAAAATCTCGGTTAAGAATGTGTACTGTGCTTTCAGATGTCCTAGTACTTTTTGCATGGAGATGATTGAGCTTATTGGCATACTGTAGAAGAGTGGACAAACGATCATCGTGTGATGATCACAAGTTCAAGCCTGAAGTAGTTCTTATCTATTCAAGGAGATTCAAATTTACTCCTAGGCATTCGAAATTTATCTCTTCTTTGTAACGTTGATCCTGAAGCTTGATCTCCATCAGTATATTTGATCTTGCAGTTTGCAGAGTACTGTCCTTGTTTTCATAAGCCCAAGACTTGGGACTCAATAGTTATTTGTATCAGGGTGACAATTTTCTCAACTCACCTTGTGACTACTGCTTTGTTCTTGATCTGGATGCCTCATAAAAGCATGTAATTTTCCTTTCAGCATTGATTTACTTCTCATCCATTTTAAAAAGGCTGGCTTTTTGTTTTTTGTCGATAACATTTTAAAGTGGTTTCGAACTCTTTCAACTAGCATTTTTATGGTCAAGGTTGTGGAGAAGCCCTATAGTTGCATTCTTCAGTCTCCTGTTACTTGCAAAGTGCACTGTGAACCTTTCATGAATTTTCCAAATGAATACTAGGTTAGAATACCACGCATGCACTGGCTATTTTTAAAAGTTGTGGAGAAGCCCTACACATTAAAGGATCAGGCATTCTATAGAATCATGATGTTAAATCTTGGAAGATCTTTAGGTGGTCTATTAAGTTTTGGTTCCATCATATGAATTGATGGAATGCATCTTGTACTTCCAGAGTAATGTGCAATCACAACTTTCATACTAAAGGGTGCTCTGGCCAATAAACTGGCCTGCAAGGGCTTATTTTCTGCATGTTGCCTTGACATGTTGCCTTGACCTCAAGGTTTGTCTTGCTGGTATTGTGAGCTATGTTGTCATCTAATCGGTTCACAAGCCCTTGACCCACGCTAATTAATTTTGTTATACTAACAGCATAATAGTTCCTCTGGCTGAAGTTTCCTTAATGACCTAGAACCTCACAGGTTTTTTTTTGTCTCTAGGAAATTTGCTGCAAACTTAAATATCCCAAATCCAAACTTAGGTTAGACTGCAAAACTCTCAGTTTTATATTATAGCATGATATTGCTTGGAAATGCTTCCTGCACTTTGATTTTAGAGCTATCTCAACCAAATCTGACCATGTTTGGGAGCTCATGACGTACTGAATTAATCTGGAACCTTTGGTAAAAGATAATTATCTGATAGAGCTGCTAACAGTAACAACCATTGGCTTTCTCCTTGAAGATTTGATATTAAATGTCCCTCTTTCTTCTGCTTGGAAATTATGATCTTATATGCACCTATTCCTTTGCAACGAAAATAAATATGACTCAGTTTGATTGCCCTTGCAATGATCCTGGCACTGAACTCAAAGTATTTGCTCTTTCCAGCTATCTTGTTGCTGCTACTGGTTTGCAGAGTATGTGGAGCCTTGCACTGGCAATTGTTGACATTTATGCCCTTCTAATAGGACGCCACTTGCAAAATTATCGAGCTGTTAGTTTATTTTCTGTAGGTGATGGGGTAAGTCTATTACAATTGTTTGCTCAGCACAATCATATATTTTCAGAGAGGATTGTTGGTATAGGACCAGACAAACTGGATTTATGTAACATAAAATGTGACTTGTCACATTGACGTAGGTTGTAAAAAATATTTTGATGTTGGCACTTGTTAACGTACATGAATGTGATGGAACCCAATTCATAACGTAAGAGCATTCATGGACTAGTTTGGCCATTTTTGATTTGGTAATTTCTTTGCCAGTATTAAGTTGAAGCACATTGAAGTATCCTTGAGACAATTATATTTAGTATTTTTTGTTAATGACAAAATGCTGGCATATGATTTTTAGGACCTACCATTTGATCTGGAAAAGTACCAGTCATCAAAAGTTGGGATTCGGTGGGGACTATGAAGTTTATAGATAATATTATGAATTACAGACTTAGAGAGTTTTAGGTGAGATGCTTCCTTGTTTAGATGTTCTTGCTTGCCTGTTCACATTTTTTCTTTTCTTTGACTCGGTTCATACTCTTTAGAAATGCACACTCCTTTCCTCAAATTTCAACTATTGTGATGGTTACGATATGAAGCAAGCTAGCAAGACTTCATCAGTCACATTCAATATTATTTCCCTCATCTCATTGTCATAGGAATCTCCATATGCACAAGATTCACCTCTGGCTGAGCAACCATATTCGACTTGTTTAATAGATTCTCCCAAAATAACATTTCCTTGTAGGCTATAATAATGTCAATGTCCATGCCTCAAAATTTACATAAACTAGTCTTACCGTATTCTGGGCAAAATCACTAAAGCTCCCTTTGTTCTTCATGCATCCTTAGTGACTACAAATAAATTCAGTGTATGTTACACTTGATGCTTTTAGTTACCCTGATTCAATCACTTTATCCTGCACTTATTCTCCAAATGGATATTTTCATCAACCTGTACAATCAACTTTTATGGTTTTACTCGTGAGTCACAATCCAATGTTGACATGTTCGGCAGTACTAGATGTCATTAAGAAAGAAAAAGAAACAAAAATCTTGTTCATTGTACCATTTACTTCTGTTATACTACGTAATAAACATGCCTGTGATGGTTTGATATGAAACGTATTTTAACTTTGCTAAGTTCAATGTGTCCTGTTTCAGGTCACTTCTACCCTTACTTTCGCAGCCGCCTGTGCATCTGCAGGCATCACCGTTCTCATTGGCAACGATCTTGGTGCTTGTGCTAATGATCATTGCACACGGTACGAGACTGCTATAGCTATGGCCTTCCTTAGCTGGTTCACTGCATTGCCTTCATTTTTGTTCAACTTTTGGTCTTTAGCATCAAGATGAAGAACACGAGCAACAACCCCAAGGGAATTCACAGCAGTGTTAACTACCAAAACATTTTGAAGTTTTTGTTATAAATTCAGTTTTGTGTTGCCAACCAAAGTTACTCTTGTGAAAGACAGTACCCTCCAAGAGGCACAAAGTTTCCCAAATCGATAGTCTACCTACAATAACTCAATAATAATACAATAGCAGAATTTACAATGGGGAATCAAAAACACTTAAGATGCATACAACATATTTTAATTGAATTTAAAAATTGCAAATTGCAAAACTTTGTTATTCCTCCATGATCAATCTTTCCTCTAGAATCTTGTCTGATTTTCCATATACCACTGAGAGGGAACGGGGAAAAACTGAATTTTACCTTCACACGAAAGACCAATTAACGAAACAGTAGGCAAGGCAGTGGACAGCGTTATCTTCTGCTAAAACTTTCCACACGATGGCTTGTTCATAAGAAACATGGCGTCCCATTGTTGACATACAGATCCCACCAGGCAAGTAAGCAAATCCCTACAAAGAATTATAGAATTATCTCCCTTTCCATAGAAATGGCATAGCAGCTTATGATAAATTGATTCCTAGACAGTATCTGGTTGTATCAAAATTTCCCAACCACGACCTTGTTAAATAAAGTGCAATCGCACAGGATGCTTTTTGCTGGTCATGGAATAGATATTTCAAAGAAAATATCATTTAAACAAGAAGATTCACAAGCTATATATTGCAATTGAGCTTCTGCTAAATAACATATAACGTCCTTTCAGCATACTAATAAAATATAAGTTAAGGAAAAGAAATAAAGTATTTGGATGGCATGAATTACCTGCTGCATGATCTTAGCAAATTCTGAAAACATCACTTTGCGTCCAGAATCGTCAAATATCTTGTCTAATGTTATGTCTTGGAGAGCCACTAGAGTGGTTTCCAACATATCAAGCCCAGCTTGATTTGCAAATATTAAAATTGGCAGTGCCTGCTAGAGCAGGTTACAAAAGAAGAAATTAAACACAGTTATATTGAAAATCTTTATATCAGACTGAGGCTATTTGATAACAAGTTCATATATCTCATCTAAGACAAGGCCATGAAAGTGATATTGCACATAAATATCAAGGCTTCATGTTGGGTGTTTGAGTGAAGCATGCAAAAACTATAGAAGTATCGTCCAAAGAAAGGAATCAAATCAAATTCGGAACCTTGTATACCTTCAATGAGCAGCACAAAATGGCATCTTGGTGATGCCAAAGTGTTTTCAATATTAATTCACCACTCAAAGAGACGGTTCTCAGCAATTCAGTCCCCACATGATAGCTGCAAAAGCAGAAAGCATGTTAGAAACATAAATCAACGTAAAGCAAGCCCAAAGCACAAGCTGAGGTCAACTTTTTCACTTTGGTTTCCTTTTCATGTTCATGTGCACGAGCACACCTAGTAATGACTTGACACGGAAGGACTTCAATTATTCAAGTATTTCGACAATATTTAACACAGTTGAGAAAATGGAAGTGGCTAGCAACTTCAGAATCAGAAGTATGAAAAATCAGCATAACTAACCTATAGCTCTGACAGATCCAATGTGCAAGTGTTACAGCTTCTGGAGAGCCTAGAGACAGCTTTGGTGCAATTGCAGGGTTCAAACCTGACGGAGATATGGCCATGGCAAACCTCTGTACAGAGGAAATCACACTACGAACATACTGGCATGCAAATGTCGCAACATTGTCCTGTAAATTTCTTTCAAATGGGAATTGGAAAGCAATAGTCAATACTGATCGTGCACTGTAAGATGATGCCACATATCCAGAGGCATGATTGGCTACTGGGCGAACTTCAAGATTTGATGTCAAATCTAGAGTTTTATAAAAAGTTGAAGCATCCTGTGAATCACACACAAACAAACCATTAGTTATCCGAAATGTAAGCATTAGTACTTTTAGGTTAACAAAATTTTTTATGATAAATAAATAAATTTTACACTGTACACTTTATCTCATCCGTGATTCTAGCGCGAACATAAGCGAATGTAGTGTCATTTAATATGTAAGAATGATAAAAAGCTTACAGAGTAGAAGCCCTTGACATGAACATATATTCATAATCCTAAAACTTTGAACCCTTTCGAAATAATCTTTCCAAGTATAAACTTATTGTGCATGGTATACAGTACTAGACACTATAATGATGAAGACTTTATATCCATTTTTTTCCTTCGTACTGTTCGACGCTATTCTATCCTGGCCAAACATGCCAATGTTGTACAACTTGGCCATGTTGCACAGCCGAGCAACAGTAAAAATACAGAGAATATTTCTACTAAAACTGAAGCTCTTGCAGGTGGCTAGAACACTAAAAGCACAATCTTCTTGAGGAAAAAGATAAAAACATGTTGAGGAAGAGAATCTTTTAACTCAACTGGTTTTGGATCCAGTGGGATTACTCGAAAACCAGAAGGCAGTAGAGGTGCATCATCTGGAAACATCTCATCAATTGGGGCAAAAACAAGCTCAGAGCAGGCCCCCAATGTATTCTCATCAACTCCACTACACATCTGTAGACAAGGATCAATTTATCATGTATATATCTTTTATTTTGCTCGCATCAGTAGTTACTAAGTTCATTCAAATGAGATTAAAGAAAGCCACCTGTAACAGGTGAATGTCCTTCGAAATAAAAGAATCTTCATGACTGAGCAAATCTCCTTCCAAACGAATCATTTCAAGCATCTAAAATACAAAACATAAAAATAAGTGAGATGAAATTATGCTGCATTGTAATTCAAATAAAGGTAAATGCTCATATCAAGATCAAGGAAAAGTGGAAGTCAACTCAGAAAAGGCACCTCTTGCAATATAAAGATATCAAAAAAAAAAAAAAAAAGATATAAATTTTTTTAAATCAATTCAAAAATTAAGACCAGCCCTTGCTGCTTTCTTTATTTTATTATATTTTGTTGGAGGGAACTGAAAGCTTTGCTGTGGCAACTAAAAGATTATCATAATTCATTAGTTATATCTGTAAAACTAGTACAAGTATATACCTCTTCATGTTCAATTGTGTGTCCAAGTGGTATGATGATTTGGCTTCCAGTGAATCTTGTAGGCCTCATTCCTGTATATGCATATGAGCTTGTTTTCAAAGACGCGGCAGAATAGGCATCAACATTAAAGTCTGCCCACTCTGATCGATGCTCCCTTAGAAATCGAACCAACACTGCTGGAGAGACATTCTGGAAGGAACAAAATAGATTAGTCCATTGAACACTGGACACAACATTGCTAATGGTTTGGATCTATAATATTTTAAAGGATGTCAAATTTTGGTTGAGCACTGTTCAAGAAAATTGTAAAATAAAATCACTTCAGTATAATCATACAAACAACCTAAGTAGTAATGAACCATAAACACATTAAAGAAGCCAATCTTAAACCTCCTATATTACCATCCGTGGTTCATTCAGACTTTTTAAGTAAATTGTATTTCGCCGAGGATGAACAAATTTATGCAAAGCAGGTTCATATACTCGCATAATTTGATGGAGAAATTTGAGCATGTTTGGCTAAGCTTAAAAGAAAGTAAAGTTACAACTTTTTGTGGATAAACATTTTTGGATATGTTACTTTTTTCTTACTTTCAAAGAAACATGTATTTTCCAAATAATTATAGTAATTGTTGACCCCGTTTTATGTAATGGTTACGTGGACAATAGATGCCGAGTCCACTCGCGTCCACGTAAGCAAATTCAAACATGTTTTGATCGGAGATCCAGACGGAGAAGGGTGAAGTTTATGGATGTGAGAGATGCTTTACGACGCGAGACAAAAATGTTCAAACATGGGCAATATGATCAAAGATGATTGCAAACAAACAAACAATCATAAACAACTTCACCAAAGTAAAAACAAACTTAACTCAAGCAAATAAATATAGAATGAGCAAGATAGAGCCAAATGTGTTTTTCAAGTGTAAAGAGTTACATTCCAAACAAACGTTACAAGAGTTGCTTATTTATAGAGTTCTGGTCGAGGTGATTGCCGTTGGATAGAAAACATGTGGCTTCATCTCCGAGGCAGACGTCTCATATCACTCAGTCTGCTACGCATTTAATACATTGACAGTTGGTCACCCTATACCCTCGGCTCACAATCCTGATATTCATTATTATAAAAGTTACATCAATCATTCTTGAAGATTACCTACAAATCCTCTAAAAGACCCAAGTGCTTAGCCTAAAAGGAGCTTCAGATGGGGCGAGTGCTTCGGCCAAAGGGAGTTTCGGACTAAAAGGAGTTTCAGAACAAAGGGCATCAACTTCTTCTTTGACTTATTTATTTTGACCAATTGGGTCTTTGTTAACTTTGTCAGATCCGACTATGTCTCCACGTGGACACGACGTGGTCCCCACTAAGAGCCTCGGTGGCGAGGCATAACAATAATTATTTCCAACTTTTGACCCACAAGAAAAATGATTTATTTAAGAAATTATTAACTTATAAGTACCTTTTAAGCTTAGCCAAATAAACTCAAAGTAATGAATTGTTCAACAAATGATTGGCGTGAGACCTGTCAAAAGCTAAGCAGTCAATTTTTACACTTGGAACTTGACGGTTAAATTACATACTAGACAGAAACAAGACACATTTTACGTTCATAAAGCTTTTGGACAAGTGAACAGAATAATAAGCTGTAAGGCTCAATGTTAAATTAGGGAAGATATCAAGAATCACCTTGAGTAGCATAGATGCCTTCACACACAGAATGCCTCCTAGGCAAGAAACTGTGCTTGTACTAGTGCTCAGGTTCTTGGACGAATTAATGGCAACTACAACATCTTCAGCACCATCATAGTTCAACATTGACCAGCCATCATCACTGAATCCGTTAATAGCATCATTAAAGCCTCTGCACAGGAGAAAATATTAGATCATCAACAATGTTACCATAACCACATGCACACTATAGGCACAATTACATCTCTATATCTCAATGCATAGCTTAAA